ATGGTTGTAGGCCTGATGTGCTTCCTGGGGGTCTGTGAAAGGCGCTATATAAATTAAAGAGATTATTATTATTATTAGCTCATCTATTTATTCAATTCAATTTTATTTCATTTATATAGTGCTTTTCACAATTGTTTCAAAGCAGCTTTACAGTAATAAAAGCAGAACACACTGAAAAATCGATGGACTACATAAGAAGCGGAGTACAACAGCTAAGATTAAACCGTACTAGTGAGCGTAGTAATAAAGCAAGCGTGCCTTCAGGAGGCCAAAGGTAATTTCAACTCTGTTCCGGGCATGGGCATGGTTGTAGGCCTGCTGTGCTTCCTGGGGGTCTGTGAAAGGCGCTATATAAATTAAAGAGATAAATTATCAAAGCCTTATACAGTATGATGGAATTACTGTACACAATTTCACTCATATCTGCAGTCCATTTCAATTAAAGATTCAACTGTTTCATAATCAGAGTACAACTGCGTTTTTGGAGATGTGACTTAACTATTTAAATTGTAATTGTTATGTTTTAGCGGAGCGGTGGGTTTGTAATTGTGCACTACTTTCAGGCGGTCTGCAATACTTTGCCACGCTTTTTCTCTTTGTTTGATCACTGTGGCGGTGTTGCCTTTCTTCTTAATTATTTCTTTGACCTCCTCGTATGCCTCCATGACGATTTGTGCCTCCGACGGGGAAAAGTACGCCGCTCTAGTTGCCATGGTGAATCAGTGAATCTGTGATCGGTGGCGGGGTCTATTTGAGTGAGCCATGAACGAGCACATATCCTGGATTGGTTACACCTGGCTTGATGAATACGTGTCTGCTCATCCTGGCTTGGTCTTTGTGCAACCAATTAAGCCTGGACTCACGTGTTTTGGATTCATTGAGCTCAGCTCAGCCATTTATCCTGGATGTCTTAATCCTACTTTTGTGCAACAGGCCCCTGGTTTCAAGAGCACGTAAAAACAGTTTTCATGAGAGTATAGCTCCAGCTCGTCAGTTCTCACTCCAGGTCCATAATCGTTGTTCTTTTCTTTAATCTGAGATTTCAGATCCTGTAAAGGGCTGTGTGGTCCATAAAGCACCTCGTGCAGGTGGTAAGAGGTTCATCAGACCATCCCTTAATGAGCCCATAGAGGTTAGTGTAGCAGTACTTCTAGCCTGGAATTAATTGAATTGCAGTACTTCAGTAAGTGTACTTACTTATGAATGCATTAATACAAACGTCTACATAATTCCATAAAGCAAAACTGTCTTCTTTGTTGTAGGCTGAGTATAAGGAGGACTCACACACTCTGTCCACTGAGCTTCCCTGTAACAGACTGTATTAGACACTCTGTTCAGAGAAACCTCCTTCCTGCAGGAATAAATATGTAATAACTTTCAGAATTGATGTTAAGTATTTATTTTACACTCACTGAGCTTTAAAAGAT